AGCTGTCACTGTCAGATCCTGAGTGTGCCCTGTGTAGTGTGAATACTTCTGCTTTCACTTAGATCCAGCTCCCCAACACACACACACACACACACACACACACACCCCAAATAAATAACCACGGAGCCAACACAAGACTGAGCCACACCCAGAAGCTTCGACAGTATTCCTCTGGCTTCTTCCTGCACTGCAAACTCTGAGGGCAGTGACCCTGAAGACGGACACTGGATGTGCAACCCCTCTTCCCACCCTCCCAACGTGAAATGGGAACTGGCAACTCAGAGTCTCTCGGCCTCCCTCTGTGGTAAGGAAGGAGTTTAGCTCCCCCCACCCCAATCTTCTCCAGCTCTGGGATGGCTCCCCAAGGCTGGGAAGCCTGTGATTCTGAACTGAAGCCTTGGACCCAGTGAGGTCAGGTGAGAACACAGGTGCTCGCCCCAGGAGCTGCCCCAGGAGCTGCCCCAGGCTGAGAGTCTGCTGGGAGGAGCTTGAAACACCGGCCCACCTGCACGGCAGTGGCAGTGGCAAATTTACCACGTCAGCCCCTTTCAGAGCACTAGGGCTTTCCCTTCCCAGCTGGCAAGTTTTGGCAACAGTGTGCTGGACTAGGGCTTCTGCCTACCCAACCCTGGAAAAGCTGAAGTCTAAACCCCCTTCCTGCCTTCCCACCTTCCCTTACCGCTGGAGGCCATCTCCCTGAAGGATCTGGATGGCCTCAGGGAATCCCCATCTGGCTGCAAGCCTACAAGACTTCCCTCCCTTCCAGCTTGGGCGAACAGCTCTCACCCAGGCTGCTCCCTTCCCCCTCTGAGACCTGGAGGGAAAAGCACACTTGGCCACAAGCTCCCTGTGGCTAAGAGAAAGGCAAAGGGAACAGGGGGCACCTTCCGAGGCTGGCCACAGTATGAGGCGCCATTCCAGGAAGAGAAAGAGCAGCAGCTACCAGGGAAGCAAAGCACCACTGGTCCTGGTCCTCCACACCAGTCCTTACCAGAACCGTAAGCAACAGCCTCTTAGGGACCCTGTCCTGACCCAACAAAGCCTCAGCTCTCTGCTGACTGACCTGGGACAGCTTCTTTCCTATTCAGCATTTCACCTCATCCCTACTCTTACTTCAGTTTGGACAAGAGACAAAGTGGCCTTTCATGGGACAACTCCCATCCCAGCTCCACACAAACCTCCATCCAGGTCATGCTGTCAGGGTTCAGGTGAGGGGGAAAAAATGGTACTTTTTCCTAGACTGCAAAACACCTAAGCTAGCCCAGATGAGGTTTTCAGCCAGAGGCCTGGGAGGGTCAGTTCCCCAGGGAAGTGAGCCCTTAACCATCCATCCTCTGCAGGGATAGTTCCTTGTCCCAGCACAGACCTGGGTGGCCCAAGACCTAAGAAACTAGAAAATAAGCTTTGAAAAAGCCACAAAAGTGGTCCCAGACACTGATTCCCACCACAAGCAGAACATCTTTTGTTTCTTCTTCCCCGTAACAGCAAAAGGCCAGCAGGAGTTGGGCCTGCACCTAGCATCTATTGCAAACCCACTTACTATCAGCCCATCAATTTGCATGCATAATCTTGCTTCAGCCTCACAGCAACTGTACCAAGTACCAGTCTCTCTATTTTACAGAGGAGAAAACCCGAGGCCCAGGAAATGAAGCAATGCACAAGGCCACACTGCAATTGCAGAAGCGGGGTAAGAAGCTGGGTACTCAGGGCTCATTCCCATGCACCTGCCAGGCTTCCTTCAGTCACTGCCAGGTGACTGTCCACACGCCATCCAAGAATGGCAGCCCAGTGTGGAGGCGGAAGTGGGTGTGGACCAGTTTTGCTTGATAGCTCTGGAATTTGAATTGATGCTACCCCCACCCTCAACTGTAACAGTTCCCAAGTGTGTGACTGAGAGAGAGCTCATGTTAGTGTACAAGCGGTGGGGGTGGCAGGAGGGTGATCTGGATTCCAAAGAGCAGTCTCCAACACAGAGGTTGTGCTGTAACGCTTCTGATTCACAAAATGAGCTCACGGCCTCAGTGTCCTGAATGCTGCTTCAAATGCAAATGCAGGTCCCCTTACTGAGAACTGAGGATTTCAGCATCCCAGCCCCAGCCCAAGGTGCAATTTCCTTTAGCCTCACAGAGCTGTGATGTACAGAAGCAATCTCCAATGAGAAGCCACCACTGCATTTCCTGCAGTCTGCAATGAGTCAGGAAAAAGGACAGACACACACACACACACACCTGTCCCTGCACCAGTACACGTACGTACACACATAGGAAGGGTGCCAACATGTCCCAGCTAAAGGAAATGGCCAGTTTAGTGGATCTCCAGACTGGAGGCACTACAACTCATTCTGATGATCCTGTGGGATCAGGATGATGGAGACACAGGCTCCCAAAGGCCAAATGCAGGGGAGTGTTAAGGAGCGAGCTTTCCCAACCAACGCCAGGCTCCTTGTGGTGGACTGACCCTCTGTGAAACTAACAATGTTGTAGGGTGGTCCCTAGAGAGCAATGACTCAAGGGTCCTCCACAAGGCAAATCTTTTTTTTTTTTCTTCTTGAGACAGAGCCCACTTAGCCCACCCAGGATGGCCTTAAATTCACGAGCTCAAGTAAACCTCCCACCCCGCCCTCCCACACCTGCGAACCAAGCATCTGGGACTAAAGGGGTGTACCATTAACCTTGGCAAGCACATTTATTTATTTGTCTGTTTGTTTATGGACATCTCACACTCATTTACCTCACTCGTACTAACTCTTACCAGATGCCAGGCACAGTGGAAAGATCCCCAAGCTTACACCGAAGCAGAAGCTATTGATGTTTTGCGTAACTCAGAGTCCTCCCAGAAACTCTCTGAAGGAGAACCTATGCTTCTGATGCCATACATGTGTGCAAATAAAGCAGCGGTTACATGTTCAGAGGGCTTAAGCAGGGACACGTGAAGCAGGAGTAAAGCCGTAGGCCGGAGTCTCCCTGCTACCCACGCCCTCACCCCCATCACCAGCATCAGCAGCAAGCTTCTCTTTGGCCGACACAATATCAAGGCTAAAGGTCTGTGGTCCAGGCCCGCAGGAGCCTAGCCAGGTGCACGCTCCATCTTCTACCTACCCCTATCTTTTTCCAGAGGCCTTTCCCAGGCTGGGTTCTTGCAGCCGTGACAGGCCCTCAGCTGCATGTAGCTACACGGTGCCTCCCCTCTTCCCTTTATCAAGGCAGCAGCCCCGGGTTAAACACTGGGGCTACTTTTAAAATCTCAGGTTTAAAAGTTAAACTTTCACCCTCATAGACACTCCAAGGAACTCTCTCTCGAGTTGAGGAGTTGGGGTTCTACCTGGTGCTTGGAGATGCCGTAATGGCAGCTGACCAGCTTCCCCAGAGCAAGCTGTAAACCTGGGGGCATTCTCCAGGCGCATCACCCCTCGACCCCTGGGAGTTACAGACCAGAGAAACCAGCCACAGGCCAATCCAATTAGAATGGAGACCGGCCGGGGCTGTGCAGTGAGATAATTTATCACAGTAATTGAATGTTTACACCCTGCGAGCAGCAGTAAAGAGAGGCCCCCTAAGTTCTCAACCGAAGGTCTGCCTGTCTCTTTTGGTTCTGGAGTCATCCAAACACACAGAAACGGTGCTGTGGATACATACATATATCATACTTTGCTTGGGCAGCTCTGGACTGAGACTGACGCTTCACCCCCTCAGCTGAGGCACGCAGGTTGGAGTCAGAGGTCAGAGATACAATTCCATCTTCACCAAACCCTCTTAGCCTTAAAACTACAGGGTGAGGATAACCCAGGCCTCCAAGCCAGGCTTCCAGGAAAGCCACCTTTCCCCTCCCCAGCCACAGTTGCCACCGGGATCTCCCACACACACGTGCCGCGGTGGCCTCAAAGACCAGTCACTGCTCCCCTATCCTGCACAGAGGTCCGAAGTGGGATGGTGGAAGCAGGAAGTGGCCATTGAAGTTGTAGCCAACGAAGTTTAAAATGAGGCAAGAAACTTCCCCTTTCATCTTTCCAGCAGCTCGGGCGAGAAGACGGTTTGGGACACTCAGTGGCCTACCTTTTGGGCAGTAGACGCCTCCTCTAGGTCTGCCTTGGTTCTGAGGCTTGAAAGCCTCAGTGCCCAAAGTTCCTCAGCTTTTCAAAGTCTTTAAGGCCTGAATGGGGGGCGCAGCAGAGGTCCACATGCCCCTCATTGTGAGCGTGTGGGGCGGGGAATGATTAACTCCATCGAGCCCGCCATATGCAGGGCCCAGAGGAACCCGGGCTCCAAAGCTCAGGACAAGCATCATGGAACACAGCACCCGGCCAGGGACGCGAGCCTGCGGGGGCGAGCGAGCCGGATGACAGGTCTGAGGTGCACCAGCAGCGCCAGGCGCGCGGGGTGAGGCGGCTCCACGACCGTCCTTCGGCCCGCGGGCGTTCAGCACTCCAGCCTAGGCCTCTCCAGCACTGGCCCCAGTTCCCAGCCCCCATCCCCCGCACTCCCCCCGCAGGTCTGTCCCCGCAAAGTCCCCACGCCGACCCAGCGCCCCACACGCTGCAAAGAGAAGGGGCGCCGGATCTCTTAAGTTCTCGCGGCTCGCGAGCCTCTCGTCGCGCCTCCCCGGCTCGGCAAGGCAGCGGGTCCTTGCGGTCACCACGTTTCTCGCGCGCGCGCAGGAGCAGCAGCCGCGGTCCCCAGCCGCTGGTACCCGGGGCAGAGAGACTAGGGAGGGCTTCCCAGCCGGGGCCGCGCCTGGGTGGTGGGCGGGCCGCGATCGAGCTGCGTAGCTGCACAAACACGACGGGGCTGAGCTGCACACGCAGCTGCGGGCGCGCGGTGCGGGCCGGGCGGAGGCTACGGCGGCCCACGCACCGTCTCCCGCCGCCCCGCAGGCCGCAGAAGTTGGCCGCCGGAGGCCCAGCGTGTGCAGAACTGCAGCCACAGCCTGCACGGTCCTCCGGGGTCCCCTCGCTGGCCGCACCGCCTGCAGGCCTCGGCCGCCCGCCGAGCAACAGCACTTACCCAGCTCCCGCTCGGCCTCCGGCCCCAGCAGTGCCCCTTCCTTCCGCCGCGGGCCGCCGCCTTGGGTCGCCTCCGAAGAGCCCAGTCGTCTGCACACACTCCCGGATTTTAAAAACAAACAGGCGCCGTCGCTTCCCCGCGGCGTTCGCAGGGCTTCAGCCAAGCCCGCGCCTCCCGAAGCCTGGAAGTTTGCTGGCAGGGCCCGGGCGGGACGTGCGGGCTGTCACCCGCTGCTCGCGACGCGGCAGTCTCGGCGCGCCCCGCGCCCTTACAGTCCGCCTCGAGAGCGCTCTCCCTCCCTGCGTGTCACCCCCAGTCCTGCGATGCAGTGTCAGGATTGCACGGCTCTGACTCATCGGTTGAGCTCACAGCTTGAAAAAAAAAAAAAAAAGAGAGAGAGAGAGAGGGCGAGAGGCAAGAGCGAAGGAGGAGGACTCGCTGGCGTGCTACAAAGGATTGCACAACTCGAGGCTGGGAGCTCCGAGCGCCCAGTGGCTGGCCGGCGCGCGCGGCACGGCGGCGAGCAGGAACCAGCTCTACCACTTCATCAGCACAACTGTCTCGGGGCGGCCTCTCCGCCTGCAGGCTCCGCGCCGCCCACTTCCTGCGACCATATATGGCTGGGAGGCGTCTTTAAACCTCCGGGCGGCTGCCCCGGCTGGGGATTTCCAGCAGACCTTACCTCCACTTGCAAGGCTGTGGCCACCCTTCCCCCCAACCCCCCAGCCTAGGCCTGAGCCCCCGATGGCTCTTCTGTAATCAACAGGCCACGCGCCTTGTTCCTTGCATATCAAGGTCAGGAGGAGACAGTGACGAAATGTTTGGAAACCCATCCTGCCTGCCAGGAAAGAGTGTGTGTGTGTGTGTGTGTGTGTGTGTCTGCGTGCGCGCGCCCGCCATGGTGAAGAGGGCACAAGGCGCTTTCCTCCACAAAGAAAAAACTGTGACTTTGGGTGCAACAAAACAGGCATAATCCTCTCTGAGGCAGTTTATTAACAACCTTCCTGAGTTAAGATTTCTCACCACCAGCCTGCCCGTGTAGGTTATAGAGAAACCAACCCTGTCTCCTCTATAAAGGACTTACATGACCATAACTTAGGAGATGAAAAGCTCCCGGGTTGAATTCTCACAACCTAGGCCGTAGTTGGGCGACTTTGACTCAAAGTCTTGAACCGCCCTGACAAAATTTTCTGGCTGGAACCTGTGATGCCTCTTTTTGCATTTTGGTGGATGATAGGAACTAGAGAGTTCTTCCAGAGCCGAGGGAAAGTCAGGTGTGCTTTGCTGTCTGTATGGTGTTGCTTCTTAAGATGAGTCAGAAGGCTTTCTTTTGAAGGAAAAACCACTGAGGAACACACTGTGTTCTGGTAGCCACTTTCCCTGGCGTCCAGTCCTAAGAATCAGGTGCTGCCCTTCCTCTCAGAAGTGAAAGAGTGGCTGACTGATTCTCACCCCTGAGATTGCAGAGCCTGAGTCTTCACCTGACCTAGGGAGTGGATGACACAGACAACAGGGGAACCTTCTGCACAGAAACTCGCAAGAGGCGCGGCTTCCCCATCCTCACCCACCGCTTTGCAGGCTTCATCTCCATGCACCTGGAAGGACTCCTCCTCCCCAGAAGACAAGGGCTTATTTGTCCTGTTATGACAGGTCAGAGAATTTAAACTACAAAATACCAATGAGTATGCCAGGGGACTAGACCAGATGACCTCTTAAAAATCACTTCCAGTTTAAGATCCAAAATTCTGTGACTGAAAAAAAAAAAAAAAAAAAAAAAAAAAGGAGGAGCCTGGGAAACCCCTTTCTACAAAGAAAAGTCCAGGCTCCCAGTTTAGCAGCCGCTATGACAAGTCTGGTCCAAACACTTCCCCATACAACGACCACACAGCTGTGTGAGTGTATTTTAGCACTCTCATTCAACGGATGGGAGCACAACTCAGAGCTGTTGACTGCCTTGCAGAAGGCCACAGGGTAACCCAATATCTCTGTCATCTCTCTTCTCTCCCTCCAGTCTCCCAAAGAGTAGGCTGATGGCCAGTTGAGGGACTGAAGCACTCAGGTACACAGTCCCCTAAGTACAGGCTGGCCACTCAGTGCTCCTGACAGAGGCTGGGTATAAAAGCCATCTTGGTTTTTCCATTTGCAGGTTTCTTCCTCTGTGTGACAGTTCGTCCATGTGAGGAAAGCAAAAGCAACCCACTTGGCCTCCTCTGTCCACCACTGCCTCCTTCATTAAACCTGAAGGCTCCCCTGCAGCTAACCAGGGCCAGCCCAGAGGGACCCCCTAAAAAATACAAACTGGCCATGGGACATCTCAAAACATGACCTAGCTGAGGAACATGTTCCTAAAAGAGTCTGCTACCATAGAGCCGGAGCTGAGGGCAACAAATGGGAGCCATTACTCTAAAGAACACTGCTCAGCCTGGTCTGAGAGGGCTTCCTCCCTCCCCACACAGCGTGCAGGGCCTGTCCCAGAGCAGTATGGGGAGAAGAGGCAGGTGGCAAGATGTAGAAGAAAGAGAAGTCAATGGCCCAGGGGGATTATGCCTACCTTGAGCAGCAGCACATGCCTTCATTCAACAAAGTTTCTAAATTTGGACCACCTCGGGAAGGAGGGGGGGGGCTGTCCTGATGACGGTAGAAGTCTCCCTCTCAACGTGCTTGTTGAGACGGGGTGCTATGAGGGACACTATGGCCTTTGTGAGAAAACCTTGAAGGTCAGCCTTGCTGCAGATATGACAGAGCAGAATCACTGACTTGTGAAAGTTTTGGTTTTCTAAGCTCTCCAGTCCCCCTACAAGCCTCTGGGGCAACCAAGAAGGTGACCTTTCAGAGCTGGGGGGGGGGGAACTGGGGGAGTTTGGAGGATTACACATAGAATCCCATTTTTCCCTAACACCTCACTTCTTCACAAACCACAGGGAAGAGAGGAACACAGGGCTCCAGCTCCTGGTGTATCTGTACACTCCAGTAAACAAAGCACTGAGGACTCTAAGCTCTGAGTTCATCTGAGGCAGAGCACAGCTTCACAGAGGCTTCCTGGGATGATGCTGACACTCACAGACAACTCAGAATGGCCATCCCCTATGTTCCGCCCATTAAACACTTCAGGGATTGGTGGGGAGAGGCTAGAGAGGTGGCTCAGTGATTAAGAACACCAGTTGTTCTTGCAGAGGTCTTGGCTTCAGTTCCTGGCATTCACATGGTGGCTCACCACCATCCATAATTCCAGTTCCAAAGGATCTGACACCCTCTTCTGACCTCCATGGCACCAGGCAGATATCTGGTGCAGACATATATGCAAGCAAAAAACATTCATACAATTAAATAATTTTTTAAAAATCTTCCAAAGATGAGTTTTATGGTACGTGAGTAAATCACAGTAGATTTTATAAAGAACGGCAAGGGCTCTTACTGCCCATCCAGCTCTACTAAGTTCTGTCATCTACTGTTCACTACAGAATAGAGTCATAAGGCTGGGATGTAACTCAGTGAACGAGGCCTTGCATTTAGTGGCTAGGGGAGGAAGAGAGAGAAGAAAGGGAAGGGTAAGAGGAGAAGGAAATAGTGGCAGACACACTAATCCCAGAACTCAGGAGGCCAAGGCAGGAAAATCAACAGTTTAGGAGTATATTGGGCTACATACCAATACTATTTATGGGGGTGGGGAGGTAGTTGTTTTCTCTCTAGCCCCCAAGTTTGCCTGCTCTTTCTTTGGCCCTTCCCTTCCTCACGGAAGTCAGCATATGTGGAGTGTTAATGTTTTCTGGGCGAACAGACACTATTGAGGACTCCATGTGTCCACAATGCCAGGTTCCTCATGTCCTACTGTTATTTCCCTTTGTGAAATAAAGATGCTATCTTTAGGATCTCCTTGCCTAGAGTTACAAGAGAAGAGGCAGTTGTGGAAAAGACAGGAAACCAGGACTGGATCTGGATCCTGTCTGACATAAACACATGTGCTGCACAACCTTGGGACAGTTGTCAAGCGCCCCTCAGTTGGTGCTGGTTTTTTTTTTTTGTTGTTGTTTTGTTTTTTTGCCTATAACAAATCCACCATATTTGGTTTTATGGGTTTACAACTGTTGTTTCTCTGCATTTATTCCTACCTTCTCCCTTTCAAGAACTTAACTCCAGGAAAGATCCTTAGATACACTCCCACCCAAAAAAGGCCCCGGGTGAGTCTCTGCGGGGCTCCGTCAGAAGGTCTACTTCCAACATCAAGTTGGTGTCTTATCTGGGGGGTCCTTCCAAGGCTGGCCCCACTCCATGTCTTTTGTATCCTTTCCACTACACCTTTCCACTACACTGTGATCACACCCCTCTGATGGCTGTCTTCTCCCCAGGCCTTACCAGGTCCTTCCTGATGCAATGGACAGCTTAAAGCCACCCAGAGTCATGAAATTAAGCTGAGAAACTTCCACATTTGATCTCTTTTACCCCTGAGAACCAGGGACCCTCTTTGCTTCAGTTACTTCACCTGTTCTAGGGAATGCCTGCCACACCAGCCCCCAGCTGTCTGCATCCCTGGGTACTCCCTCCTGCCCCTCCCCTACAGGCCTAGCCAGGTTCCTAGTGCCTTTGTCAGGCCTGAAAGGGAGCTTCTATAGATGTCCCCAGTTGCTCCTGTCACTCTGGGAGAGAGACATCTGGCTGGCTGCAGGGAGAAGAACAAAACAGGTGTGGCTGCCAGGGAGGGCTGACCAGAGGGCCAAGGAACAGAGACACCCTTTCTTTAAGAGGCAAGAACTACCAGCTTTCTGGGTGGCTCGCTCTAGGATAGTCCCCGGGTCACTGTAGAACTGGCCCTGGACAGACTCTCCTGTTGTCCGCCGGCTGGAACTCAGCTTCCCTACGTCATCACAATGATGTAGAAAGATCCCAGGAAGAAAGGGATCCCCAGAGATCCAATGTGTACAACGGAGCAAGCTTTAAAATAAAAGCTAATATTGATAAGTCATGGACTGAAATTCAAAGTTCATAGTTACTTCAGTGCCCTGATCTAGTTACAAATCCTGGCTCACACCAGCCTGATAAGCATGATTTGAGCAGGTTACTTAAACATTCTGTTTGCTCATCTGCAAGACAAGAGAGTTTTAAATGGCTGGCCCACACCACTGGCAGTCCTCTCCTCACCTTAACTGTCTCTTTGCTTCAGGGCACACACTGTACGATCCACAAACCATCAGATTCCTTAGGAGTTCCTATCACCTACTGCAGAAAGCTGGGGCTGTGAACCAGACCAGTTAGCATGCTCATGTTCCTGGAATCATCCAGCATCCCAGCCTATCCCCACCCAACACAGACAGACAACCTGAGGTTCCCCAAGATGTCTCTACCTCACTCCCGCTTCTCTTCCTCTTCTCCTCAGCTGTGGGTAATCCATGCCCAGGTCTCCCAACAGACCGGAGCTTATGGGACTTCCAGGACGCCTTCTTTCATTCCTCCAAGCAAGGGAAGCTCATGTATACACAGTGTTAAGAGTTCTCCAGGGTTCGTTCTAGCAAGTCGGCTGCTTGCGCTGCTGGTTGAAA